TAAGAGAATTGGCCACAAAGAATCCGTAAAATAATTAGCATATAATCTCAAAATCCGAAAGTAAAATACGATCAAGACAATTTTTAAATACACTTCGACGCATACGTTCAAAACCGTATTCGCTGCAAGAATTACAAATAAACTGAAAAATGCAAGAAAATGAAGTAAGTAGGTTAGAAATCGATCCGGCTTGTTTATTCAGATGAGTCTTAGAAGAATTTGCTTGGCGTTTCTTAGAAAAAGCGTTTTCTTTTGTTTATTATAGCATCAGCACCATTCATTATGTCTGTTGCCATGGTTGCCACCTCTGCCCATCGACAATCTCGAAAACGGGCGTTTCGTTTACCTTAAGATTATTATACTGAGCTTAATATATTGAGGCGACTTTATAGTGTTAATATCAGATCTTAAAATGCAGTTAAATAAATTAAGCATATAATTCTCTTTTGGAGAGAACTTTTTCAACCAATAGGACGATATAGACAGTAACGTAGAAAAGGAAGAGAGCAAAAAAGGTCAACATTAGTGACTAATAAGAGAATTAGTGATTGAAATGAAGTTCAACGAAAGCGAAAGAAACGTTAACAAAGTACAGCTTTATCTGTCTTAAAATAAATTTTGCTTTTTGAAAATAAATTCTATTAATTCACGATAAAAGTCTTAAACTGGTGAAGCAAATGCATGAGAATAACCTGAAAATATTTTATTTCAATCAACCTGTTGACCTTTGCCAGCTTGTTGCCATAAATCAAGATGATCATGTAAATGTTTATCGGTCATAACCTCATAATGGTAACCCTTACTAATACCCAATATTTCTAATGCATTTCTCAATGATGTACTTCCAATACGAAACATGCCAACACAAATTACTGATAAACCATCATCTGACAAATTACAACTTAAAATCTCTACTTTTTCTGCTTTACAATTCGTTCGCATGGTTCCCAAGCGAGTCAGTGTTCTACTCGACCGGCCAAATTTTATTCTAGAAAAAATTCGACTTTCTAAAGCAAGAAGATTATGAAGTATTCTCTCACATTCTCGATCTTGAAGTATGACATATTCTGATATCTGTCCAGTGGTTTTCAAAGGAAAAGTGATAAAGAAAGTGTTCCTTTTCATTGTGAGGTCCAAGTCCTTTTTGAAGTAAAAAGCTTTCCGAAAATTTGATTTCCAGTCTTCATTAATTTTTGGAATATCGCGTAGGGATTCAAAACTTCTCTGTTAAACGTTACACTTTTCTGCATCTTTGAATCAACGTGAATCCAGACTTCTTATTTAACATTGTTTGAGAAGTAGCTCAGTTTTTATTAATACCTTTAGGTTTAGCAGAGCCTGATTAGATTTGATTTGAGATGAGGTAAGCTGAAACTCGTGGAAACACACGTAAATGGCTATTTATGAATTATATGACAATATCGACTTACATCGCAAAAAGAACAGAAAGTTCATATCCAAAGCTGGAGCAAAATCAGGTATTTCAGCCAATATCATTCAACGAAAAGACATAAAAATCCATTAATACGTCTCTGAACACATCGGCAGGCAGGTATGATAACAGCTGGCTCGTTGCAGTAATCGAAATATAGAAGCTTTTCCCAAAACTTTTTCATCTGAGTTTCAGAAATCTTTAGGTATGGATAATCTTTTGGGTTTTGGGTTTCAATTATCTTTGAAAGAAGGCATCAATAAGCCAGCTTACAGAGCCACTAAATGAAACACATTCTCAATTTCTCCTTGAACCATTTCTATCTTGTTTTGTATACTTTTCAAAAACGTTTTCTAGTATTCGAGGTTAGGACGAAAAAAACAAGACTGGCACAAACCGAGACTGAAACCAGATCCTTAGTCACTTCTCATGATATATCGATACTTTTTCGGCACTTGATCATAAGAGAAACTAATACAAAATTTTTTTATGAAGCATCGTCTGGCTTTATATAGTTTATTTAAAATGTTTAATTAAACTCAAAGAACTCTAAATGTGTACTTACTTATTCCATCATCAATTTTAGATTGAGATGATTCAACTTTAACTTGAACAGAAGCTAACTGGTCATTATAAAAGTTTAAATAATTTCTTAACATATGCCGTTTGAAATTTGAATACCCAGTTTTTTTATGAGAAATCGATTTTTCCAAGAGTCACGGATCATTTCGACAAACCGTGCATATTGCACTCTACGTTTCTTTTTCATGATCGTGTTTCGGATCGACAAAAACCTTTTCAAATACTTTTTAGTTTGATGATAAATTATCCTTATTAGAAGCCATTATGTGTTAACGTAACTTTGAGAAAATTAGAATATCCAGTGAAAAGAGGCAAACGAGCATTTAGTGCAAAGAAAACCAATCAATCAGCGGAAAAAAAACAGAAAAGTATGAAGGCGGTACTCAAACAAATTTACGATGTCTCTATCTTCTCTTCAATATCAAACAGCCTTAGCAGTCACCGAAGCGATGAGTCTTGTTTCCACAAAGAATCTTCTTACTGATATCGGTGGAATTCCCATTGAGACGTCATTTGCTGTTCACAAACTATGTTTATTAGATGGTGAAAAGCGCCGACTGCTCTTCGCGTTGTAACTCCTACAGACAATTCCATACATAATTATTAATTAAGAAGTACTAATAATAATAAATTCAACCATTTAATGAACTTCGTTTCATAGCTGCATATATGAAATTTAAGTCAAGATTAACTGACATGCAGAAAAATGAATAGTTTGATGAAATTAGACGTTTGATAGATACCCCATACAGTTAATGAGATATACTTTGCGCGGATAAGAATTACTTTTTCCCAGTTGAATTCTGATCTCTTTAGATATATTTGAATTGCTGATCCTAGCTGCTCGTGTGGTGAGGATGAAACAGTTATACATTTCTTCTTGTCATGCAAAAACTATTGAAAACCTCATGAAGAATTATTGCAAACAACAGAAATCATTCTTGTGGTGTAAAATCCGCTCACTATTCATATCCTCCTTTCTGATTTTCGGAATGGTGTACTTGAATCTGAGAAAGTTAAGCTGGGAAGACGAATCGGTTAGGAGCATAGTTGATGTCAATATGAACTGTATTCAGCAGATTGATTGTGCTGGTACAATTGAGGAACAAACTAGTGAAGGTACATATGTGTTAGATTTAACAACAATGATCAACCCTGGCGATCGAGAACTGACAAAAATGTTCGCTGATGTTGGTCTGGCAGGAGAAGAGAGCAATGTCGAAGGTGATGAAAGTAATCTAACAGAAGCGACCGATGATGAGCGGTAACAATGACAACTACAACATTGATGATATTCTTCGCCCTCTATTTGTTAAAAAAATATAGCTTTGACTTCTATTTTAGTTGTTGTGCATATATGTGTACTTTTATGCAGAAAGAATATAGTTTTGTTACAAATTGGGTTAAACACCATATTTTCTTCGTTTTTTTGTTTCCAAGAAAATCTGCTACAGTTCACATTTTGAAAGCTTTGCATTTTTCTTGCTCTCTTTCACCAACTTTCCTCCAAAATCCCGTGGTATAAACGCTGGACTCTTCGTATCAAAGCGCCCACGTTCGCTTATTGTACATTACTCCTAAAGTTTGACGTTCAGGTTTTAATTAATTGCTCAGGTCATGACAACGAATCAGTATGTTTTACTCTTAAGTTTAACGGAGCCCCAGATCGTTTTGTATGTCAAAACTTGCGTATTTTACACAAATCAGATAATTGCTCTCATTTTTAAAATTGTTCGCTTTACTCCGAAATCGATGAACTCCCTTCTGCTTCTTGTACTTTGCGGCGTCCCTGCATACAATATTAAAAAGATTTATAATAATATTAAAATTCTTAACACGTTGGCCGCAACTATTCTTAACATTTTTATGCTCTCCACAATTAAGTGCGACGGAAGAAGGACAGAATGAGTTCAGTTCAGGCTCGTTTGTCTTCATTTCCACATACTCTTATTCCACATACTCTTATCTTTATCAGCATACACCAGATGGCACGGAGTGTTGATCTCAATTCAGAGCAAAATCTTTTCGAATTTGGGAGTAAAATATTTCAGAAAGCAGCGAGGGGGATCCTCCTCCCCACTCTTGTTGTCGCGGCGTCTCTGATTGTATGAATAATTTTAATATTATAATGAATTACGATCTTTTTATTAAAATTTTTGACATGTTTGCCGCAACTATTCTTAAGATTTTTATTCTTAACTTTGGCCATTGATTCACAAAATGTTATTGATTGTCGAGAGAAAAACCGATGCTTTTATATATTTATTTTATTTCGCTTCTTGTATTTTCCATTTCGTATGAATAAGCACACGCTGGTTGTATCACTGGAGAGCAAATGAATATATGTCTTAGAGTAAAGAAAAGAAAAAGAAAAATAGGCGGTTAAGATTAAGAAAAGGTTGTAAATAGTCATAATATTTTTTAAATCTGCTGTAGGCAGCAAGTTACGGTATATGGAACAGAATTTAACTATTATTTAAATATTTTTATTTTTATTTTTATTTTTAAATGTTTTTGCTGTAGCAGGTCTCAATAATAAAAGTGGTCGAAACGTTTATTTAAATAAATTTTCGGAATCGAAATATCTACTTGTAACTCTAATAATCTATCTATTTCGTATCACCCAATTCTAACTTTGAAAAAAGATTTTTATACTATTGATACAGTTGTTTCAACACATACTCCATTTTGTTTCTGGTATATCCTGTATTTCAGCAAAAGTTTTAGAAAGCAATTGAAAGTACTTGGACTTTGAGAAAGATTTATAGAAAGCTTTGGAAATAAGGGAGAATTTTATTACACACTTCAAACCAGATATCGAAACGAATAAAAACAAAAATGGACTAAACTTTTGCTGACCACTTTATAGATAGATTTTTAGTTTTGGCTGGACTTATCGCATGGTATCACAGCTTATCAAAACTTAATGTTTTTTCTTCTAGAGAAGCGACCTTAAAGCGACAAACTGTATTTTCTTTTTAATCTGAAGATTTTAGTATAGTTTGGCTCGATTTTGAGTGAGTTATGAACTTTTAATTTTCGGTGAATATAGCCACAGATGGATTATTTCAGCTGCTATGAGTTTTCTTCTTCAATTTTCTTGTGAAAACAAACATGACCACTAAACTCAGCGTCGCCAAAAACCTGTGTTTGAAGTTGCTTTTAATGTTAGAGCTAACCGGACTGGTAGGTCCCAGTAAACCTATACTATAAACAGATCTTGACCTCAAACACATATTCTGAAAGAAAAAAGCACTTACACTCAGTCTACACTTCTTCTGAAGTTATAAAAAGCCTTTTTTGTATGGGTTATGGGATAAAACTTGTGGATAAGCATATAGTGGTCGGAATTT